TTGAGATTTCCCCTATAAATAAGCTGTTATCTTATTAAGGGTGGGCCATCCCTTCCCACTCACTAAGACTTAGACTAAAGACAAGAATAAATCTATAGATTACTGACCAAGGTTAATGATATCATCCATATGTCCCTGCTACTACTGGATCAATATGAGCCAAGTGTCTATACTTCTAATCATATTGGTTGATTATTATTTTGACCCACATTTTACCCACCTCATGATTTTGCTCTATAAAACTTTCTCAGAGAAGTGGGCTCATTGGCAACCCATTTGACCCCCCTCTTGTCTGTCTCTCAGGAGTTATTCCTATTCCCCTCCCTTATTTCAGAATAAATTTTCCTTTAATTTTTTTTTTAGCTGGTTGTAGTAGCCCATGCCTGTGCACTTGGGACACAGGCAGGAGGACTGCCCGAGTTTGTGGCCAGCAGGAGCTACACAGTGAGTTCAAATTGGTCCAAAACTGACCATTAGAAGCTCCTTCACAGCTCCTGGCTCTTCTAATATTTGAGCACTTTTATTTTTTTAAACACACTACTGGAGAATAAACCCAGGCCTTTACACTGAACTACATCTCAGGTCTTTATTTTTTTACTTTGTTTTTAGACAGAACCTCGCTAAATTGGTAATTAGCCCAGGCTGGACTCAAGAAGTGATTCTCCTCCAAACTCAGGATTACAGACACACCACTGTGCTTGAGTTTTTTTGTTCGTTTGTTTTTGTTTTTTTAGCAATTTTTTACTTTCTGGCACAAGATATTCTAGTCTCATCTTGTTTTTTGTTGTAGTTTTGTTTTGTTTTGTTTTTTGAGACAGGCTCTCATTCTATATTCTAGGCTGACCGTAAACTCACCATGTAGCCTAATCTGGCTTCAAACTCAAGGGAATCCTGCCTCAGCCTCCCCAATGCTGAGATTATAACCATGTGCCACTTTGCCCAACTTCCTCTTGGATTTTAAACCATAGAATCAACCACTTCCTTCAAAGAACTCAGATTCCTTTCTAGAGAATGGTGTTTAGAAAAAAGAGATGTGGACAATAGATGTTCCCATTGTGACTGGAACATCACCACTTCCAGAGCCTCTTGGTGGATGGACAGTTATGAAATGTATTAATTCATTATAAACACGTATCAGTATTTCTGCATCTATCTGTCAATGCAGAGTCCACAAAAAAAAATGTATAAACACTTCTGACGTTCGTCACGTTAGAAGTTTGTCTACAAACTAATGGCAACCACACCTCTTGTCAACTGCAGGAGCCAAAGCTAACCTGTATTAATCTCATGATGTCTCAATAAACTTAGTATTAAAATATTTATGGGAGCTTTTTTTTTCCTTTGTGTATACCTTTTTTGGACACATTCTATACCACTGAGTCGATTCTATTATATCAGATTCCAAGCCAACACAAGATTCATTTTTAGTCTTTGTTCTTCCCCTAAAAATGAGAAAACTGGGTCTGTCTCATTATCTATATTTACTAATTTATTACTTTTAAAAATAGCTATTTGTCTGTCTGAGCTGGCCTCACTCACTAAGAGGGACTACCGAGTGAAAAATATTTGAAAACCATGGCCCTGAATTAGGAAAAAAAGATTGTGAGACCAATGATCTGAGCATAAGTACATCCATTCAGGCACTCAGTCTCTACTGCCTGGTTGGTTAACTGTCAATTGAGAGAGGCCCTAAATTAACTCTATCAGTAAAGTCACATTTAAGCAGATGAAACACATCTGACAGAGGTGCCCAACAATGTTTTTACTCAAATGAGTATTTGAATGTTTATTTTTCTCCTTATAACAGTAGACACACTGAATTCTCATCATTCAAATAGTAATAATGTACTGTATACATTTTAAAAATAGTTTACTACTCAACCAATAGTTACAGATTTTTAAATGTGTGTATAACACACACCTAGTATAAAAATTCTTAACTTACAAATGGAATCCTGACTTCCACTTCAGGCAATGCAGGTCGTGGGTGGCCCATTCAGAAGTACTTCCCTTTTTGGGGGGTGGGGGTGAGACAGGGGTGAGACAGGGTCTCACAGCAATCCTCCTGCCCCAGCCTCCCGAGTGCTGGGATTACAGGCGTGTGCCACCATGCCCAGCAGGACATGTACTTTCAATGCTACTATAGAAGGAATATTTAGTCATAGCATGTTGCAGGGACATTAAATGGGAGACATCACCCCAGTGATAAAGTAGGCAAATAATAATGGCCCAAGCCGGGCGTGGTGGAACACACCTGTAATCCCAGCACTTGGGAGGCTGAGGCAGCAGGATCACTGCGTTCAAGACCAGCCTGGGCTGCATAGTGAGTTCCAGGTCAGTCTCAACTACATAGTGAGACCCTGTCTCAAAAAAATGCAAAAAATAAAAGAAAACAAAAACAAAACTAAACAAAACAAAAAAAAAACCAACATAATCTGCTGGAAGATAAAATAGATAAGACATAGTCTCAGGCAGAGACTTTCTGAACCAAAAGCCAATTGCATAAGAAAAAATACCAAGGATCTCAAAAAAAAAAAAAAAAGGCCCATAAATTTGTCAATATAGATGTGGCAATTTGTATCTGGTTACACTGAATCTTAATGTCTGTGTGTGTGTGTTTGTACTGGCAATGGAACTTGGTCCCTTGCACTTGCAAGGCAGGCAGCAGAACCACTGAGCCAAACCACTGGGGCCTTAATATGTTTTACTGGTAATTATTACACTTTGTACCTTCTTCCAAGAGGCTGTGTTCTCAGACATTTATCAGAGAAGCCATCCACATAAAAAATTAGAAAATTTTAAATAAAATTTGCTATACCAATTCCCAGAAAAGTGAACAGTTTACTTTTCTTTATGCTATTTTTTTTTTCTTTTGGTACCAGTGATTGAACTCGGGTCCTTGCACTTGTGAGGCAGGCAGCAGAACCACTGAGCCAAATCCCCGGCCCTCTTTATGCTACTTTTTAAGATAAAAGTAATTATTCTCTCTGTGAAAATTAAAATTGCACATGAAAACTAAAGAACTAAAGTGGAAAAAAATATATATACTAAGTTTTGGAACTGGACCCTATATTCTTAACTGGCTTACAGAATGTATATGATTCTTCTTATTAGGGACACCAGTCAATATATTGTTTTTCAGATTTATTCAGGTTCCTTATTTTCCTCATCACCTTTCAGTGTGATTATGTATTCATCTGTAAAACAGGTTCATTTGTTACATCCTAGTTTGGACTGTGTCCCCTCAACACTAATGTTGTTCGGTTTTAATTATTTAGGCTCTTTCTTGAGGAAGAAGAAACTGAATGGCAGAGTACTATGTTTAAAAGTCTAGCTTTCTGTCAAACTGAAATATGAGGAGAAAGTCAGAGTCCAATAAGGTATTATGTTAGGGGAGGGGAGGTTTCCCTTTCTTTGTAAAAGCAAAAGAAATATGAATACATTTACATAAAAAGAAGCAAAAAGAGTTGTGTAGCTATGGCTCTCACACTTCAATTACTTCTGCTGTACAACTTCTTATCCAGTGTTTTTGGAGAAAATGTTGAGACTGCATTTCTAATAACTCCCCAGGTGATAAGGACTACAACTTGGGAATGATGTGTGTAGAGTAAAATCAGAATAGTTCCAAAATAAAAATATATTTACATTGATATAATCATCATAGAAAGGAAATTAGAAAACCATACCAAAATACACTGCACATCACCTATCTACAGTCTAGAGAAACCTCAAACAAATTCAGTTTTTCATTTTCTTCTTTCTGTTTAATGAAAACCTCACTTCTTACCATAAGTATTTACTACTTCCATAGCACTTTTAAAATCAAAATTTTTAAACATGATTCATCTATCACATTGTTTATGATATTTGGAACCAGAAGGAGTAATATTTATCCCATTAGATATCAAAATATTTTAGGCCCAAGGAAAACTGATGTTTTATATAGTTGATAATTATGGTTACATAGTGTTGATTTTTTAATGTCCATACTGCTTTCAATAGGGTCATCTTCAAGAAATCTTTTAAACAACTATTGGTAGCATTAAAATGCAGTTATAAATAGTGTTATCATAGTCACTTGAAAAGGAGAAAGGAAGCTAGCTGCGGTGGCACACAACTATAATTGCAGCACTTTAGGAGATTCAGGCTAGATGATCAAAAGTGTGAGCCAAAAACAAAAAAAATGTCTGAGCACAACCTGGGCAATTTAGCAAGACCTTGACTCCACATAAGAAATTGTAGGTCAGGATTTAGCTCAGTGGTTCTGCCGCCTGCCTTGAAAGTGCAAGGACCCAAGTTCAATCCCCGGTACCAAAAAAAGAAATTGTTTTACAAAGCTGGGGATGTAGTTCAGTATCTTAGATTAAAATTCTCAGTACCAAAAAAGGAAAGAATGAAAAAAAGAATAGACAAGACCAGACAGACACTAACAGCAGGTCAAAAACATTGTTTTCTTAAAAAATTAGTCTGGTAAATCAGTGAAGATTCTTACAGTAAATTACATATAATATGCCTATGCCCCTTATTTAACGTCAAAGCATATGCAATCAAAGTATCCTTAACCACCTAAAAAATCCAAATACAGTAACAAAGAATTATACCTGAATATAAATTAATCCCCTTACATGTGTTAAAAATAAGCTATTTTCTTTTTTTCCCCATCTTCCTATCTGTGCCACTTGTTTGAAATGGTTAGTACAATTTTTACTAATAACACACATAACGAGGCGGTTCCACCGCCTTCCTTGCAAGCACAAGGTCCCAAGTTTGATCCCTGGTACCAAAACAAACAAACACACACA